AAACATGGATATAAGAGAGAGAAGCCCCTTTTCCAGCCCCCTAAAGAAGAGGAGGCTTCTAAGGACTTTCAAGGGCGCTTTTCCTGCCTTCCGTCCCTGCCTTGCTCTGCTCTGCGCTGCCTTGCTCTGCAAAGCATCCTTCTGTTTCTAACAAACTGCGCTGAGCCTTGGGAGAATATCCCAGCTTGGGCTTTGGGGCTTGGAGTTTCGCAAAGGTCTGGGCTGGGCCTTGGAGAGAACATCCGAGCTTGGCTTGGGGCCGGTTTAGTAAAGGTTTGGGATGGGGGTCAAGGCTTTCGGGACTTGAGGCGGGTCAGGCAACGCTTTGGGTTTTGATATATAAGTTTGCATTGCAGTAAAGACCCTCATAAGGGAATTATGGTGTATTCATTGTTATGGGTATAATGCAGAATTGGGATCAGTAACCGTCCTTCCAGACAGCTTGTCTGAAACGGACTGAGCTTTGAAACGCGTTTCCGTTTCGGCAGGTATGCTCCATCTGACTTTTTGAAGGTCTTCAATCAATTCAATTAATTGAAGCCCCCTTCAAGGGGGCTTGAGAAGGGGCTTGAAGCCCCTTCGAGAATTCTGGACTTCAGAATTCTCGAATTCATTTTGAGAAGCCTTCTGTGTGTGGAGAAGCAAGGCGTTTTGCTTTGCAATTTTTGATTCTTTTAAACCCCGTGAAGCGATTTCGTGTGGCTTTCATTCTTGTTGTCTGTTGGAGGCGTTTTACGTTGTATTTAGTGTGGATTTCTCTTTCTCTTTCTCTTTCTCGTGTGGAGAAGACGTTTTTGTCGGGAACGAAAACGTATTGTGTTTTTCAATTAGCGGGGGTGTTGGGGAGGGCGCAGGCCCCCCTAATGTCCTCGTTTTGTCCTTCCTTGAAGACAGTCACATGCAACAAACAACAAATTTGAAAAAGGTTTTTCTTCATTCATCACAAGCAGAAAGCCACACGAAAGCGCTACGAGGGGGTTTAAAAGCGATGAAGCAAAAATAAAAAAAACTTGATTTTCCAAGCCACACGCAACAGACACTAAGAGTAAAAACCTTTTTACAACACGAAAGCGCTTCCAGCGTTTCGAGGGGTTGTTGCTCTCACAACAGGGACAGGAGGGGGGGAAACAACAAGGAGGGCGGACAGCGGCCAGCTGGTCGTGAAGAGCTTGTTGACTCCCCCTGTGGGGGTGTTGTCACTTTGAGTGGGCAGGCACAGGCTGAGTCGGGTCTGGCCATGATATGCTTTGGCCGTCATGGCTAGGGCAAGCTGTGCCAGGGTCTCCAAGCAGGCTATGTATTTTTGGGCGTCCTTGGTGAGCAGAGGTAATGTCGTAGGACTCTGCGAACCAGGCAAGGCTATGTTTTGTGGAGACCCAACCTCCGATGCCTACCTTGTCCCCTTCGACCATTGCGTTTGCTCGCGCCAGGCTAGGAAGCAGAGGCGGCAACGACGGCGGTGTCGTTGGGATAGATTGGATCCCAGGCAGAAGCCACCGAAGGCTATCCTGGGCTGTTTTGGTGACTTTAATGTAAGGGCAGGAGGGATCCCATGTGTTCCCCGTAGGCTTCGGGAAGACTGGCAAGTCGGCTTTGCAGTGGCTGCTTTGTTGCCTACTTCGATGATCTTAGAGGAGTTGTTCTCTCTTGATGATTCCAAAGTCTTGTTTTCGCTCTGGAATTATTTGCTGCCACGGCAGCGTCGTGAACTCCTGTGTTGCAGTTGGTTTATCAGTTCACATGTTCATCGCTCTGTACTTGCGCGCTTCCTGCAGTGAATGGTTGCAATGACTCAGCAGCAGTCTCGAGGGCCGCTGAGGACGGCCGAAGTCAGTCTCCCAGGATTGCTTGTGTGCAAACGCTGACCTGCAAACACCTGTCTGTCAGCGCGGGCCCAGCAATTGCATTCAGATGTGGCTCCGGCCTTGGCCTTCGCACCGTCTGTGAGCGGAAACTGTTCCGTCTCTTTCAGGACGCTTTCTAAGGTTTTGAGAGCAGTGAGCCGCGCTAGACCGCTGCCACAGTGTAGTCTGCCTGGCCCAGCCGTCGTATGGCTGGGAAACGTCTCAGTTTCAGTGACGTCGACAGGAGTGCTTTTGAGCAAGCGAGCTTACCGAAACCCCTTTGGACAAAACGAAGGTGTGCGATGCAGTCATGTTGGGAGTGAGATTTTGCATGCATTCGTTACAACATGTGTGTCCATGTCTCCTCGAACTTTCCTGATGCTCTTTCGTTGTTCTCTCAAATTTTCGCCGGTCCATCAAGCAGATAAATTTTAATATTGGGCCGGCCGGATCCAAGATGGATCCAAGAAACTTCTTTGTGCAATCTTGGATCTTGGATCCGGCGTGGGCCCAATATTCAAATACTGATTTCTTTTGATATTTAACATTGGCCGCCCTGGGGGTTCACTGGAACACGACAAGCGAGCATCAAACAAACAATTAGTGTGTTACAAACGCAAGTAGCGGACACGGAACAAGCAACTGCTGTATCACAAACACTGACAAACACAGCCATCGAGGGCTAAACCAACAAGGTGTACACCGAAAACCAGCGTCCACGGCGTCCCCTTTGAAGATTTACGCTGCGCTGATCCATGCCAGATGAAAAGCAGACTTGTCAGCGGTGCAGTTTATTAAGGGGCACATAGGGGCACCCACCTCCACCTTGTATTTCGTTATTCGCCACTTATTGGCGTTCCATGAGCGACACCAACAGACCTTTTTGCGCATTACGTCTGGATTGGCAAGCTTTTGACACTGTGTCCCATGTCGCGTCCTGACTCCAGTGGGGGTTCCAGCGCCCTTTGTGAAGTCCTTTCCGTCCATAAATATACATTTCAGGTAAAAAAAGTGGGATCCACCACCACAGGAGTGCCGAGTCACGTCTATCTTACGGTGACAGGAGCTGGAGCTTCCACCCTACCCGTCCTGCGATGTGCAATTCCCGAAGCCAGAGCAGCTCTCCCCACAATCAGAGCTACGGACACTGTTTGTGGGTCGCTTGCGGTGCTGCGGACCATTGACAGATGCCTTGTCACGCTTGGCGCGAGAATGGCCATAACTTCCCTCGCAGCTTCTAGAGCTCTCTGTGCAGATTCACCCAAAATTTTGAACGCCTAATACCTTAAGCCTTAACGCGTGAGCCTAAAATGCTTAAACCCAAGCTCCAACCACTAAATCCTAAACCCGCATTCGAAAAGTGGCCACAGCCATGGTTCCTTTGCGTTCCACATGGAGGAATCTTTGTTGTCCGAGCGGGAGGAGGCTATCTGGATCTTCTCGATTGGAGCATGCCTAGTGAACGCGATGTGCTGGTTTAGGGTTTAGATTTAAGGGTTCACTGTTCATGCACCAAGTTTTGACTACTTGTTCACAATAGTGTGAGAGGCGGGTCGGGACCGAAGCTCATGTTATGCGGCTGTATGGCTGTGCTGCCACGTACGTTCCGGTGGACGCTGGGATGGCTGTGGGTTCCTAAGCTGCAGAAATCCACGACTCCGTGATGTCGTAGTGTGCATACCTGGAATGGCTTGCGTGCAAAATTTCAGCTTAGGCGGTTGACTGCCTTCTTTTGCCTGTTCACTGTTGCATTTTGGTGGCGGCCTCAAGAAGAGGAAATTCGATTGTTCGACCAGCAGCTGTGGAACATGAGGATTGGCGTCACGAGGAATTTGTATTGCAATCCCGATGCGCTGCGGGACGTCGAGCCCCCATTCAACGGGCAGTTGCTGCCAGCAAACTTCACACTGGTTGAGCGGAAATATCTGCTCATCCAATTTACGAAGTTGGTCGACGTGTATGACGATACCCAGAAGCACGTCGGATATTTCTACGAAGCTTGGCTTCTGAGAGAACCCCGAAATCGGGCACAAGGTGTCCACATTGAATGTTTCAAACGAGGACATCAACCTGTTCATCATCATGCGCTTCGGGTTCTCCGATGCGAATGGCAGGATTTGGTTCGAGGCATCGAGCTGCTCGAATTGCAAGCGCTTTGGTGTACACTCAGCGCTTCTGTTTGATTTTGTAAAGGCACGGTATGCATCCTTCCTTTCTCGATTCAAGCCCATCATTGAGTATAACGTTCAGCGCTGTGCAGGGGCCTTTGTTGCTTCCGTTGTCCTACATTCCTAGAGTGGCTGGCGTGCAGTCTGTCCGGGCATTCGGTACGGTGCGTCTGCTGTCAGGATGCAGGTGGAGTTGGCAGACCGTCCACGCTTTTCGAGCTGAAAGAAGTGTGGTGGCCGAATGCTTAAATCGGATTTTGTGGGTACATCGAGACACTTTTCTCGGCTTTGACGCCAATCCTGAGGATAGAATCCTACTGGCGATGTTTCGTGAACTGCAGCAGGCGCCCTGTGTGACAGCGAGATGTGAGAAGAAGGCTGACACTCGGTTGGTGGTTGAGGGTTTGTCGATAGGCTTGCGAGGTTGATCAGAGTGTTCTTTGCGAGGCTGAGCTTACACTTCGCAACTTCGTGTCCTCGCTGACTTGCTTTGGACTCTCCAGGCTTTTCAATCTTGCGGAGCGGGCGGCGAACGGACAAGTGCGCGAAACGCTGATACCAGAGGCTCATTGACGGCATGGCATGCTTCCAATAGATATCTTTGTCTTGCGGCAGCTCGGGGTCCTCGGGGCTAGGGCCCAGGGCTCCTTTGACTTGCAGGCCAGCTTTGGGCTGGATCCCAAATTCCAAGTCTCCTTCGATGCTTCGACCTCGGCAAGAGGGAAAGGGAGGGAGAGAGAGAGACAGAGAGAAAGATTGCTTGAGAACTCTGGGATTGAGGGCTGGCTGGCGCCAACTCTTCGTGGGCAGATCACTGGGCCCGTGTCGTCGCTGCGGGCCTAGTTTTGGCCATCCTCGTACTTTCCAGGTTTCAGCGTTCTGTCACGGTGTTTGAGGTTCGGCACAGGAGTTCGGCAGGTGTGGTCCATGCACCTCCAGCTGCTCGGTCTGCACACAGCAGCACAACGAGCCATGCAGACTCCTGCTCGGAGGAATGCCACGGATGGTCGGCTCTTTGCCAAAGCTCAGCAGCACTTCGTCATCGGAAGCGCAACCCAAGACATGAGGGCCACCCGGCCTGTGACGGCTCGTATAACCGTGTAACGGCTAGGCTGCACGGAAGTGACCCGCTGCTACTGCGTTCCCATGAGGTTCTCTCACGATGGAAGGTGGAAACCTTGGTACCATCTCAGCTGCCAAATTGGGTCATTGGTGCCTCGGCACTTCAGTGTACGTGGTAGTTCATCGGCTCGACTCACGTTTGTCCAGATTCGATTCAGGATTCCTGGCTGTGCTTGATGATATCGAACCTGGGCATCCGTAAGCCTGGCATTTCTTTGCCTCTGTTATGCTTGCCACCAGTCGAAAGTTGAATGAGTCAGTTCGACGTGCAAGAATACATAGGCCGTCTGTTGCGCGCTTCTTTTGCGAAGCATGTCATCCAAGGAAGAGGACTACTGACCAGTGCGGCGTGCGATGTGTGAGGCTGCAGCCGTTTCGATGAAGCGGCATTGCGCTTCCTCCGGTAAGTGCCGCCTCGGCCAAGATCGGGGGTTGTCTCCCAAGATCTGTGTCTCTGGTTCCGCAAGAATGTCCAGGCCCTACTCTCTTGTCGCAGGAGCGAGGGGACGGAGGGATGAGAAATGCACGTCACGGTGCGTGGTGCAAGATAGCGCTGGCCAGCCTGCTTTTGAGCGACTTCGGACAGCGTAAGCGTAATGGAAGAAACAGGCATAAACAGGGCACTGGAGTCTCTGACTCATGTTCGTTTTGGTGTCCGTCTGCCAGCATCACTGGACTTGAGAGAATCTCACGAAGCCATCTTCTTCAGGCCGCAGAGGTTTAAATCCTGGTGTGGATCGTGGCTTTTGTACTTGCCCCACGAAGTGCTACCCCATCTTCCTCGAAACCTAGGGGCTCGCATTGCTGCTGGCATGGCTTCGAGCTGCGGTGCTTGTGCGGGTTTGCGAGTGGATGAGAACGAGGCGCGCAACTCATGGGGCTCAGATAAGGGCCCAACCTGTCCTTTGAATAGGATCAGCGAGGGCCTACGCAAACAGGTGTGCAGGTGTTCCGTCGACTGGGCAGCCGAGCGCAGCCGTCTTCACAGCTGCGATCAGCGCATGCGGCAGGAGAGGCCAGTGGCAGGAAGCTTTGGCAGTCCTGACCGCTATACCTGCAAGAAGCTCGCAACTGAACGAGATTTCCTTCAACGCCGCCATCAGTGTATGCGAAAAAGGTGTGTTGACTGATTCTGTCCTTTTGCACTTTTGCCTTATTTCAGTCCAACTGGTCTACTAAGCTACTAAGTGCTTATGGCTCAGCCCTTTTCCGAGGCCACTGGCGAGCTGCTCTAAGCCTCTTTCGTTCCGCTGCTCTTTGGGTGCGGAGGGACGTGATCACCTACAACAGCAGCCTGAGCACGTTCAGCGAGAGCGGTAGCTTGTGGGAGGTGGCAATCATGCAGCTGTCAGCCATCCGGTTCGTGGGTTTGGAGCCCGATCGGATCTCCTTCAACGCCACGGCGACGGCGGGTACCTGGGCCTTCAGCCTCTTGGCCCTGCAGGAGCTCCGTGAACGAGGCGAGGCCGAAGCTCTGGCCGCACGGATCTGCAGACCTCCGGGGAATTCCGTGGGACCCCGCAGCTCTCCATGTGAAAGAGCGCTGAGTCGCTGAGGATGCGGTGAGCTACAACTGCGGGATCACGGCAACCGAGAAGGGCCAGGCCAGGCCCTCGGAGTGGAGGAAAAAAGCGGCTTAAAGGTTTCGTGCTTTAAGGAGTGGCCCGTAGCCCTCCAACTCCTTGAGAACCTCAATGCCGGCGGACTACGAGGTGCAACGCATGAAAACGCTTTGAAAGGTGCTTCATTGCCCCCCTTCCGCATTTCTTTCTCGTCTTGCTTGGTAGAGGCACGGTCGTGACGGCTGGTGCCGCTATCAGTGCCTGCGCGGCCCATGCTTGGGAAGAGGCGCTGCTTCAGCCGCGTGCTCAAGAGTAGATGGCTGCAGAAGCCTTGTGGCACTTCTTCGTAAGGGTCACTAAGAGTAAAGAGAAACTGCTAAGAAGTGGGATGAGCTTCGACGGCTAGGCGCTGTGTTTGCCAACGCTGGACTTTACGATGAGCAGCGCCATGCAGCGCCTCGTGAGTCTGAGGTTGTTCCAGCTCCAGATGCGAAGGCTGCAATCGAGTCTTCTCGGCATTCGTGGAGGAGGTAGCAGACTGATGTCAGGGTTCAGAACGGGAGACAGGAGCAGAATCGGCCCCCGTGCTCGAAGTCTCTAAGTGCTGCGAGCTGGGATTCGCCCTCTGAGGAGCATTGCCCACAACGCTGCGATGTGTGCCTGCGAGAGGAGCAGCCACTGGGAGCAGGCGACTGAACTCGCCCTTCACCAGTAGGACTTCCGAGGTTTCAAGACTATGGCCCAAGCCCGGAGTAACTGAAGAATTCTGAAGAAAACGATATGATCTGCTGCGTGCGAAGCTCTGACCAGTGACCGCCCTTCTCTCTCGGCACCAGGCCCTTCTGCTGTTCGTTGGCATGGTCTTTGCCAGCCTCCGCCCATCCATCATCAGTTCCTTCACCGCAAGACGGGACACGAGTTGACATCTTGGGGCGCAGAAAACCCTGCCATTGTATGCGTGACCAGCTTTTAAAGGGACGGTTCAGAAGAGCAAAGCTGACGCTCGTTTTTTGCTCAGTCTGGGCTACCACAGTCCACAGTCCGAGACGGTCGGTTCTGTGGAATCGCGACTGTCCTTTCAGTATTGTCAAGGCAGGTCTCTTGTTGCATTTTGTTGGCCAACGTAGTGAACCCTTAGCCACAAAGAATATGGGGGAGTGAGGCTACTGTGCTGCTTTAACTGGGGGTGTAGCATGTCAGGACAGTGCAGTTCTGTAGCAAGTCAAGCTGTTGCATGGAGTGTGAGCTATCTGAAGCAAGCATCTAAACTCTAGACTCACTCGAGCTTGTTGGTGTTCTTTCGTAGCAATGCATTCTTAGAGTCTTTCCGAATGATGGCGACTTGTGCGAAGCTCCGAAGTGGTGATCAGTGAAGCTGCTCCTCTTAGCGTAGTCACAAGCCGAAAGCATGTCGTGTGCTACCGAGGCTACAACACTACAATGACAGCCTGTGTCTCCGGTGAGCAGTGGCAGAGGGCTCTGTCGCTGTTCATGGAGACACCTGCTGCAGCAAGGAGCCTCTCAGAGAGCGCAGAGTGCCATCGAATAGGAGCAAGATTGAGACCGTTTAAACAACCTGAGATTTGTACATCTTCGTGCGAGGTTGTACAGCCGTAAATTCGAAGCAGAAGGCCATAGCAATCTCGCAGCGTGCCAGAGTCACGAGCACTTCGAAAATCAAATTTCATCAAGGCGAGAAACCAGCCTCGCATGTCCAGATTCGGGGCGGTCAGGCAGACACACATTCAAGCAATTTCGCATGTATGCAAACACAAACACACAGATGTACAGAAACAGCATGTGGGCATAAGCTATGCGTGACATGCACGATCTAAAATCTATATCTAGATCTATGTCTGTACCTATATCTATATTATCAAAGTCTGTACACATACACACACACATGGCTGGCTCGCTCCTTCCCTCCCTCCCTCCCTCCCTCCCTCCCTCCCTCCCTGCCTCACTCATTCACTCACTCACTCACTCACTCACTCACTCACTCACTCACTCACTCACTCACTCTCAAGACACATCGTGGTTATGCCAGCGCTGAGAGCTGCGACCTGGAGATATGCAAAGCGCGTTGATGCGTTGGCGAGGACTGCTGTCACCTATGGGGCAGCCATCAGCGCGATGGAGACAGCCAGGATTTCTTCCGGACTACTACTACTACTACTACTACTACTACTACTGCTACTACTACTTCTACGACTACAATGCTACTAATTCTACTACTGCTTCTGCTGCTTCGTCTACTACTTTCACTGCGTCCATTATTTCTACTACTTCCACTACTGCTTTTTCTACTTCTACTGCTTCTTCTATCACTACGATGACCGCTGCTACTACGAGACTGTTACGCTTTCCGGGATTTCGCAACACGGATTGCTTCTGCCACTACTCCTGCTACTAGCAGTGCTTGTGCTACTGCCTTCAATGGTGTGCCGCTGCTAATGCTGTGCCTGTAGCAACAGTCGTAGTGGTAGTCGTAGTCATGATCAGAAGTTGTGCATTTGTTTTGCCGCTGCGCTTTCGTGACGTTTCGGAAGGCAATGCTCTCGCATTTGCCGGTGTAGTTGCTGCAACTATCGTTTGCAGAGTTCGGGTTCGGTTCGTGGCCTTGTATGGGTTGCCAAGTTGGGAGAGACGTCGACGACGACGACACATTGAACGGGGAAGTCCGCGAGACCATGTTTCTGTGGTGAGTAAAGCTTTGATTGTCGTGACGGCTGCTCTGTCTGTAAAAACTACTGTGTTGATTTGATTTCATGCGCATTGGCAGCCTTGTCCGTTCTGTTGGTCTTTGTGGACGCTTTCAACTACCTCTCTAATGTCGGGCTTATGGATTGCAGCAGCTGCTGGCATGGCTCCTTGGCCAGGCAGTGGCAGGAGGCCGTGGCGCTCCTGGTGGAATGCCGTGGTCGGAAGCTACGCCTGGATCTGGTCATCTTCAATTCGGTCATAAGTGCCTGCGAGAAAGGTGGCCACTGGCAAGGTGCCTTGCAGCTGCTAGAGGACCTCGAAGAGGCGTTTCTGGAGAAGAGCCTTGTCTCTTACAATGCCGCCATCAGCGCCTCTGAGAAGGCAGGACACTGGCAGCTCGCCTTAGGCCTCGTCGCAGAGCTTCGCCGGAGGCGGCTCCAGGAGAATTTGATCACGTGCTGCGCTGCAGTCGCTGCCTGCACCCGTGGAATGGAATGGTCTGCGGCCTTGTCGGTGCTGTCTCTGCAGCAGCGAAGGAAGCTGGAGCACCATGTGGCATACGTTTCAGCCGTCAGTGCTTGTGTGCAGTCGTGGCAGCACCAGCCAGCCCAGAGGGTTCTGTCTGAGCTGGAGATGTTTCTTTGTGGACTGGCCAAGACCAGTGCGAGACTCGCAGAAACAGCAAATCTGAGATGAATGGCCTATAGCCTATAGCCTATAGCCCAGGCCTCGCCACGCATAGCCGATGAACATCGATGAACTGTGACGTCATGTACTGGTAGAGTTGTTACATATTCTCAGATGCTTTACTTGCGAAGAGCGGCACAGTCTCGGTTTGTTTGGCTCGTTTCTGGGGTGCCAAAGAGAGTGCTGGGTCTGGGCAGTGTCATGTAGCCTTTCAGTGCCAAGAGCTTCAGGCTGCCGTGCCGGTTTCGAGTCGGCTCAGGATATAGAAGAGAGGGCCGATAGCGGGACATGAGACCCAGTTGTAATGCTGATCCTAGCTCATGGGCATAGAAAGTTATACACTGGACATAAAAAATGGATGGACTAACAGAGATGTGCAGGCCATTTCTGTGGCCTCCAACACCATCCCCCAAGCACAAACTCACAGTGGGTAATCTTTCCTCTCGCATGGCGTGGCTGCGGCGGGGACCGCGCGGGCGTCTGGTCCCTGGAGCCCGTGTTCGACTCGTGAGCTCTAGAGACACAGGCAGACAGAAAAGCCTTGACCCCCAGGTCATGGGTGACGATGATGCTGAGACTTGGTATCGCTTCACTGCTGCCCAGCCCTAAGGCTCAAAGGCACAGCCTCCGGGAGTAGGGGTTCTGACATGGCCATCCTGTTCCGGCCGAGAGCATCTTCCCGCCTTGCTGAGGCCATTAGCAAGAAGCCACAGGCTTCCCTGGGCCTCGATGTCACGTACAGGTCCTGGAGTAAGCCCGAATCTCAGGCAGCTGAGATGTGGGCCCCTGTGCAGAGGGTTTCGCTGCTCCGAGGGACGGCGTCTTTGTGGCAAACGTCTTCGAGGTGCTTTGGTGCCTTCCTTTCAAAGGACAAAAAGGAGGGTTCTGTTCCTCTTCCTTGGGGGTTTTTCCTGTCGTCTTCTCTGCGCAGGGCGGCCTTGTGGCTGCGTGGAACGAGAAGCAGGAGATGCCGAACCGGATCTGCGTCGGTGACTTCATCTTTCAGGCTGGCGCCCGCTCGCGCCCCCTTTCTGGGGTTCATGGGGGGGGGCCTTGGGGGGGCCTTGCGAGGTGAACCACGTGTCCAGCAATCCCGTCGCCATGATCGAGGACTGCGTGCTGCGGCTGCGCAGCCACTTGGAAGAGAGTCGCCCCAAGCCGGAGTGTCTCGTTTTGCGTGAAGCTTCTTCGCGGCGTGAGGAGCTGAAGGAGAAGACTCAATTGGACATCTGTTTGAAGCGGAGGCCCGGAATGACCTGGAAGTGCCCTTCTTCACGCATCTTACACGTTACTCTTCTTGGAACTGGAATTGTAGTAGCAGCACTGCATTCATTACATTATCATTACTCCGAGTTGCATCTCACTGCAATGTCTTTTTTGTGTTTTGGATCCTTTGGTCTCCGCCACACGTCCTGTGTCGTGCCAGGAAAGGAGCCGAGCCTGCTTTACCACCGCATCAGGCTCTTGGCCAGCATTGCTGCTATAGATCATGGTATATCATAGTAGATCATATTTCATTTTATCATATTACATAGAATCTGTGTCATTCCTGCTTTTGCTGACGTTATAAGAGCCCCGAACTGACAGTTGGATCGGCAGATTGCGGGCTCTGGACCGCCAGCCAAGTCAAGATCAGCCTTGTCGTCGACTTCATGTGTCCGACGGTACGACCACGACGACGGCGACGGCGACGACTTCGTCGACGATGACGACGCATGGTGCTTTGGATAGTTCCTCCTGCAGTCTCTAGTTCATTCTCCCCAGGGGTGTGGCCTTGCGGTCTCGTCCAGTCTTGGGTTGATTTAGTGGTTGTCGGGGGTGCGGATGAGAGCAGATGTTGCTGACTTGGAATAACGTTGTCCTGTTGCGGCCTCCTGGCCGTGGCAAAGATCGAACAAAACCAGACAAAAGCAACATGAGAGCTTAAACCCTGAAGCCTATCGCCTCGACCGGAAGCCCCCGAAGCCCACATGATCCTGAAACCCTAGGACCTAATTTCTTCCTTAGACCCTAGACCTTTCAACTCAGAATCCGCCCAGAGCATCCCTTCTGAACCCTGAAACCCAAAACCCTCAAGCCTAAACCATTAAACCGCAAACCCTAAGCCCAAAAAGCCCTACGAGCTCCTGCGAGGCCCCGCGAGCAGCTTCCACCCAGGCAGAGCTGGCACTTCGCTTTTTCCGTTTTTTGTTTTTCACCCTTTGTTTTTGGTTTTTCAGTGTTTTCGGTTTTACGGTTTTCGGGATTAGGGTTTCGGGCTCCGGGGGGTTGATCAGAGTTTTCATGGCTTCGAAAGGGTTGCGTGGCTTCCTATAGGGTTGGGAAGGTATTTATGTAGGGATCTATGAAGTCAACATGTTCACGGCTGCTAAAGGGTTGGATAGGCTTTTCACTTGTATATATATATATATATATAGGTTTTTGTCAAGCATGTTCTCAGTTTCCTGGGCTTCTCGCTGCCGGTGTGCTTGCCTTTTGCGTCGGGGTCCAGCTTCCCACAACGGGGTAGCAGGAGCCTGGATCCTTGCGCACTGCACAGGAGACTGCAGATGCGACGGATGGAAGCGGTGCAGAGATGCGCGATTGGGGGCCTTCGAGGCGACCAGCTTCGTAGTTCCTGGCGTCATAAGAGCAGGGACTGCAGCAAAGGCCTGTTCTTCGTCCTCTTCGTCTCAGATTGTTGACCTTTAGACTCAGGGCCACAGCATTTCTTTAGCCGGCAGCCTGAAACCCCAAACCCGGCCGGGATCCTTGGACTGCGAGGCCCGCGAGGACGCCCCTTGAGGCAGAGCCGTCGGTCATTGTAGGGTTTTAAGGAGTTGAGTCGTTTCGAGGCGTAGATTTCAAAGGTGTGTGCTTTTGCGTGGACTTAGGATTGGGGAACGGTGGTTTGATTTGACGGCTTCGAACTTAGAAGGGGTTTGGGGTTTTGGAACAGATGGTCTGGGATTGGCCGTTTGTGGTTGGGGCTTCGGGGTTTGACGTTCTGTTTGCTTTGTGCTTCTGCAGCTGAAGTTTCGCTTGCTAAACTTTGGAACCTTTTGATTGCTGTGTAGACGTGAACACATGATATCTTGTTCTCACGCTCGGGTGAGGATAGCAGAACATCAGGGTGGCATGATGGCGGTTCAGCACCACCTGCTTCGATGTGCTTGTCGGCGAAGGCAGCAGCCGTGACTAGTTGCCTGGCCACGCCCCGCTATGGTAATTTAATGCATGGAGCAGTCCGGGACATGCCGTCCGAGGGTAGTCCTGCGGAGGCTAGCAGTGGTTGAGAAGCTGCTTGCTCCGCTCTTGTACTCTTCACCACTTCCGAATCTTGGAGCCCTTTTGTGAATTGGTTGCGCAAGGACATCCTGGATCAGCTGGAAAGTCTTGAGGACGAGGTTGGATTCCGAGAGAGCTGTCAAGGTTCAATTTACCCCAAGTCTAGGGTTGCCCTGGCAAGGGAGCAGATTCTTTTAATCTGCTCTATACTATACGTGGCAGGAGTTATCAACAAACAGTACGTGCGGTATATCAAATAATGTTTAAAGTTTATTATGTTACAGTCATATACGTATTTGGACAATATATGCGATAATTTGTGGACCAATGAAAGGAATGAACAAGCACATATCAGTATCATTGCATATCTATCTATATATATATATATAGAGTATGATATGATATTATATGATATTGTAATAATATTTCATGGTATACTATTATCTTGTTATATCACTTGAAAATATTTCACTGCTTATGTTGTACCGTTATGTTGAATGAAATATATTATCTTGTATTTATTATATATAGAGACAGACAGACAGACAGACAG